CCGGCTGGGGGGCTGGGGGGGCCCGTGTGGAGTGGGGGGCCCGGGTGTCCGGGTGGGGGGCTAGGGGGGCCCGGGTGGAGGGGCCCCGGGGACGAGGAGGGGTCCTGGCGCTGGCGGGCGGAGCTGGCTTGAGGTGCTGGACCGAGCCAGGCGTGGTCGAGTGACCCCAGGCGGGGAAGGCGGAAGGTGCACCCAGCTCGCAGGGACCCGCGGGGAGGCGGGACAGGCGGCTGGACGCCGGCCCTGGCCCAGAAGTCGGTGTGTCCGCGGCCCGCAGCCCTGAGCTGGCGGCTCAGGAGTGGGGATCAAAGGGCAGCCGGGGCCCCCCGGGGGCGCAGGGGTTCGGCCTCAGTACTATGCACTGTCCGCAGCCACTGAGGCACTAGTGGCCAGGGAGAGGCCCCAGGGCACTGCAGACCCCTCCTGTCTCCCCGCTGCTCCCTCTTGAATGTGCCTTCCTGATCTGCTCCGCACTCTGTCTCTCGGCCTGCACCCCAGCTCTTGTATACATAAATACAGCTAAAAAAGTAGTTCTGGTTGGTTCTTTCATCAACTTCATCCCTGTTCTCACTGTGCATAAATTATTAAAAAGGAAAAAAGGCAGCCAGCCCCCTCCCTCGTGGCACCAGTGTGTTCTGGGGATCCCACAGTGGACACCAGGTCCCAGCCCTCCCTGCGGGCTGAAGTGAGATACCAGGACGTTTCGCAACTTGACTTCCCTGCATCACCTCCAACTATGGGGCCGAGAGGAAGCGCCCCAAACCCAGGACGCCACTGACCCTGGTGGGGAAGGTCATTGCGCTGAGCCGGGGGAGAGGAGGGTGGGGACCGCCAGCTGCCCAGAAGTGGGGGGACACAGCCGGTGCATATAGTAGCCTCACGCTAACCCCATGTGTGATCTACTTAGGCCCGCACATACTCCCCACTTTGTAACGAGCGCTTGCAGCTGTTGATCTTTGACGAGCCGAGCGGCCAGCAGCTCTCTCAGACATACGGGTGCTGGAACAAACCCCGACGATGAGTCCCCCCCAGGGGCTGCCCCCAGGCGGGGCTGCCCCCAGGCAAGCCTGCCCGGCCAGTGTGCCGAGCCGTGGTCTCTGGCCAGCTTTGGCGAGGGCGGGCTGGGCCTGTGGACGGACATTTGACTTGGCAGTTTCCTGCCGGGGCCGTGGGCACCCGTGGGTGACGTGGCAGCTTGAACTTAAGAGGCAGCCCCCTTAAGGTGGAGCGTCTTCCCTGCTCCCTGGGGCCGGGGGTCTGCCCGGAGCCCCACTGGGCGTGTCAGAGGTGAGGGGGGCCAGCTGGCAGCGCTTGGAGGAAGCAGCTGGCAGCAGCTCAGGGCGGGAGGCGGGCGCGGCCCGCAGGCACACCGCGCGGCCTCCTGCGGCGGCCTCCAGCCCCGGCCGCTGCTGCCTCGGCCTGTTCCAGCTCACTGGCTCCCTGCTCTGTGATGCCTGGCCAGGGGCCCCAGCACTTGGTGACCTCTGCTACCCTAGACTAGGACTCAAGGTCAAAGGGTGGAAATTGCCCAGCGAGAAACAGGCCAGTTTGTTCTGCTGTTCTGCCAGGGTGGCGGGGCTCCCTGGGGGGCGCCTCTGGTTTAGGGGGTGAGGAGACACCTGGGATGTCCCGCACCTGCCACAGTCCCAGCATCTGGGTGGTGTCTGAGGCGTCGGCTCACCAGCGACTGTCCAGCTCTCTGCCCTGCTTGTGTCCCCAAATTCCACTGTGCGTTGCCTGGGACAAGCCACCTGTTCCCTGCCAGCTCCTGGAAGCCTCAGAGTGGACCTTGGATGAGGCCTGTACCTGGAGGTGTGTGGTCTGCAGCCCTGAGGGGCCACGCGGCCGCCTTCCCACCCTGGCACCAGAGGACAGGCCACCGCCCTCAGGCCACGTGGCCTGGTCTCCATCTCAGCGCACTGGCCGGCGGGGGCCGCACCTGCGGCCTGACCCATGGCAAAGGGCGTGGGGACTCCCTGCCGCCCGGGGGCTGCCCCCACCATCCTGCCCATTGGTCCTGTGTGCAGCCTCAGGCTGAAGCTTGGCTGTGTCCATCCACGCCGTCTTGCTGTGGGCCCCGGGGCTGCGGAGTTGGGCCTGATGTGAAGCCTCCCCGACCACACAGAGCAGGGGCCTAGCCTGACCGCTGGGGTGAAGTGGGCGAGAGCCAAGTCCCCATGGCGGGTGGGCTGCCTGGGGGACAGGGTGAGGCACCATCTCCTTCCTGGAGCCCACAGCCCCTCAGCCCCTCCCTGCCCTGCCCAGAGGCTGCGGACGCCCGGGCCGCCACTGGACAGAGGGCGGGGCGTGTCCTGAGGCTCCACTCCGTGCCAGCCCAGGCTGTCAGTAACCGCGCACATGATCTAGACAGACCTGAGCCCGCACCCCGGGAACCCCACAGACGCGCCGCCCTGGGCAGCAACTGCTGCACGCCCACAGCCTGAGGGGTGGGTTCTGGGGCCCGCCTGAGGCCTCCGCGGGCTCTGAGCCGACAGTGCGACCAGGGCTGTCCCACACGGTCGGTTCCCTGAAGCGAGGGCCCCAGAGGCAGAGGCCGGCTGTGACGCCCGGAAGGCTCTAGGAGGGGCGTGCGTGAACGAGCGCAAGGTAAGGGAGAGCCTTCGGAGAATGGGGTCCTGCCGCCCGCAGAGCCCGTCCCACACCCGGGGTCCCCACGCACCCCACCCGGGCACCCTGACGCAGCCGTCTGTGGGGACATGGGAGGGTGAGCCGACTCCCGCCTCTGTGACCAACCGACCAGGCCTCGTGCCAGCCTTTATTTTCTGGACAGAGCCGGCCCCTCGCTTCGCCTCCGCGGGCCCACCCTGCCGGCCCCGACTGGCCTCTGGCCAGCGGCTTCCTGAAGGGCCTGTCTCGAAGCGGGAGGTGCAGCTGGCGCGGGTCCGGTGGCGCTGCCTGGCGCGGGTCCACGCTTTGGGGCGCAGGGGCTTCAGGACGCCGCTGTCTGCGCTGCACCCCCAGGGAGGCGCCGGTGAGGGCCGGGCCTCGGGGCCGCTGCCTCGCCGCTCGGCCCAGGGCCGTCCGTGTGGGCACTCCCTCTCGCGTGCGAGGGAGACCACCTGGCCACGCGGGCCCTGCGGCCCTGCCCTCCGCCCGCAGCTCCGGCAGCGGCCAGCACCTTTGGTCGGGCAGCTCCGGGTGCTGGGCCTGGACGCTGGACGTGTCCATCGCAAAGACAGTGACCAGGCGGGAGGTCGGGCGGGCGGCGGGGCGGCGCTGCCTCACGGCCCCGCGTCCTCCGCGGGCGGCTGCAGGTGGGCGAAGCCCAGGAAGACCTGCTCCAGCGAGGTCTGGCTCACGGCGTAGTCGGCCACCCCGTACTTCTCCTTGGCCTTCTCCAGCACGCCGAACACCTGGGCAGAGATGGAGCGGAAGCCGGGGCCTAGGGCGGGCCGGCCTCGCGTCTCGGGGGCACGAGGCCCTCGAAGATGTCGCCCCTGCGCTGCCCCGCTGGCCTGCTCTGGCGGCCCCCTGCCCAGAGGCTGACCTCAGGGGAGCAGTGGCCTCTGGCCAAGCGGGCAGGTTTCTTTCCCTGAGCTGTTTATGCCTCGGGTCTGTTTCCCCAGGCCTGGTGGCACCTGGGGAGCTTCAGAGCAGAAACAGAGGGTGCTGCCTGGGGTGAACGTGAAGCCCGGGGCGGGCCCCTCACCTTGGCCCAGCTGAGGCCGCGCCCCGGCAGGTGGTACCGCAGCAGCCCCTGGTGCTCCTCTTCCAGGACGCTGCCTGCGGGGAGGAAACCTTGTCTGTGCCGCCCAGGCGGCGCCCGCGTGCCCAGGGCCAGGGCGGGCCGGGCCGCGCACCTGGGAAGGTCAGGCCCGCGAAGGCCTTGAACTCCTGCAGCAAGTCCTGGCCGGCGCTTCGGATCTGGGCCCGCAGGGTGTAGCCGCTGCCGAACTTGCTCTTGAGATGCTGCGGGCTGCCCAGGCACTTGAACTGGCCGCGCGCCATGATGGCCAGCCGGGTGCACAGGGCCTCGCACTCCTCCATGCTGGGGGCGGGCGCCGAGGGACGGGAGGGGAGGAGGGCCGTGAGCGCGCAGCCCAGGCCACTCCTGTCTCTGGGCTCAGCGCCCAGCGGGTGGCCCAGCCCAGATGCTCCCCGCAGACTCCGCATCATGAGCAGGGGTCACCCCGGCCCACTCCCGCCCTCCCCCAGGCCGGGCCGGCGGGACCCCGCACCTGTGCGAGGTGATGACGATGGCCTTGCCCGACTCCCGGGCGCGGGCCACGGTGTCCCAGAGCAGGCGCCGGGCCACGGGGTCCATGCCGGTGGACGGCTCGTCCAGGAAGACCACGGCGGGCTCCCCCAGCAGGGCGATGCCTGTGCTCAGCTTCCGCTTGTTACCCCCGCTGTGGGCAGAGGGGTGCCGGTGGGAGGGGGCCGCGGCGACGGCCTGGAGGCGCCAGCGCGGCCCCGCCCCCGCGCACCTGTAGGTCCTGACCAGCTTGCCGGCCTGGGGCTCCAGGAGCAGGCCCCGCAGTGCGTTCTCCACGCAGGCGTCCAGGTGGCGCTCGGGGACGCCCCGCAGCCGGGCATACATGACCAGCGTCTCCCGGCCTGTCATGTGGTCCAGCAGGGCGTCGAACTGCGGGCAGTAGCCCATCCGCTGCCGCACCTGGGGTGCAGGCCACGCAGCGGGGTCTGGGCAGGCTCCGGGCAAGGTGGGCAGCCTGGCCCGGCCCCACAGCGGGGACAGCACGGGTCCGCGGAGGCCCCTCAGGCTCCCAGACGCTTCCCTCACTGGCCTGGGCCTCCCGCTCACGGAGCGGACAGCGGCCTCGGGAGGGGCAGCCCGAGCCGAGGGTCAGCAACACGGCTGCTCCCTGCGGGGGCAGCGCCAGCCCCCGGGGCCCATCTCCCTGTGTGCTGGCCCCGCTGCCGCTTGGCCTGCTGTCCACCAACCGGGAGAGGGCCCAGCGCACCCACCTTCCCAATGTCAGAGCGGACACTGTGGCCCCCGATAAAGGCGTCCCCGGAAGTGACGGCCTCCTCGCCCGTCAGCATTTTGAAAGTGGTGGTCTTGCCGGCACCGTTGAAGCCCAGCAGGCCGAAGCACTCGCCCTTCCGGACCGCGAGGGAGAGCCTGTCCACGGCGAGCAGGGGCCTGCGCTGCTCATACACCTGGCCGGCGGTCAGGGCGGGCGGTCAGGGCGGGCAGTCAGGGCGGGCGGCCAGGGCGGGTGGCCAGGGTCACGGGGCTGCCCTACCTTGGAGAGCTCCGTGATGAGCAGAGGCGTGTCCAGCAGGGGGCCCGGGCTGCGGGCCAGGACCCGAGTCTTCTCGTCCAGCACGTCCTGGTCCTCAGGGAGTGCAGACGTCTGGGCGGACACTTCTATCTAATTGTTCCGGAAAGAGATGACCCGTGAGCCCTGCCCAGGGCCTCTCTGTGGATAAAGGGCTCAGGCCCCGGAGGCCTCGCCACCCTGGCCGGCCACAGCCGACCCTGAGCGGTCACAAGCCACCGAGGGCAAGAGTGGGGTGCTGCTGGGCTGCCCGCAGAGTCCACGGGCCCCTGGAGAAGGCAGGTGCCGGGCAGTGGCCAGGCTGCTCCTGGGGGCTGCTCCTGGGGAGGCTCTGCGCTGGTGGGGGGCGCAGCGGGGTGTGGCCCACAGGCTCCTAGCCGGGCCTCAGCGCCCCAGAGTCAGTGGAGTGGGGTGAGCGCCTCCTGGACGCAGGCGCCCCAGGGAGTGGGAGCGGAGCCTCACCAGCGCCCGCCGCATCCGAAAGGCACAGAGGCAGGTCTTGAGCCTCCACAGCACATCGGTCTCGACGAGGAAGAGCAGGGCCAGGTAGGCGAACCCCGAGGCGGCCATGGAGGCCACGAACCTGCCCACCCCAGGGGCGCTCCACGCGTAGAAGTTCTCCTGGTAGCGGATGTCTGTGGGCAGGGGCAGCTGCACCAGGCCTCCTCCGGCTGCCCCAGACCGCTGGGCCCTCCCCGGGGTTGGGGGCCCAGGCCCACATGCTTTTCAAGGGGCCCCCCAGCATGCTCCTGCCCCACAGGACCCCAAGTGCTCCTGCATCCTGGGGGCCACTCCTTGCTGGTGCCTGTGAGGGTGAGTGGACCTCGGGGATGCGCCTGAGGAGGGCAGGGACCCCAGAATGGGAGGCACCCTGACTGGCAGAGGCAGGACGCAGGCCCCAGAGGTCCCAGGGTCCCCTGCAGAGACCAGCACCTCACCCGGCCAGCGGGGAGAGGCAAGCAGTCAGGGGAGGAAGGGTGAGGAGCTGCGGGGGCCCTGAGCACCTTCTGATTCTGAGGCTGATATGGTGGTGGGCGAGGGGGTTTGCGGGAGCCCAGTGCCAGCTGGGGCCGGGGCCAGTGCCGGGGTGG